GCGCCATCCGCCACTGCCGCAGCAGCACCAAGCAGTCGCACAGCGCGCAACAGATGCTGAGCGGCCCCGGCCCCCGCGATCCCGGCGGGCAGGCGGCGCCATCCGCGCGGGCTCATCCAGGAGCGGGGACCCTCGAGCCTGCACCATCCCGGCGATGATCTTCACCCCGTTGCTCGGCTGCCCCCCTGAGAGCACAGCGCTTCGAAGTAGCTGGCGAGCTTCTCGTCGAGGTCGCCGGCGTCGAAATCGTCGGGTCGCCTTACCTCCACGCCCAGCCTCTGAGCGCACGCGGCCACTTCCGCGAGGCAATTGATTTTCACTCGCGCTGCCACCGCGCGGCCCTCCAGGAGCGCGCCCCCAGCGCCGCGCGAGGCCAAGCACTCCGGAAGGCATCTCGACCAGCGACGCTTCTGTCGGCGCCCCAGCACACCGTCGCGGCCTGCCTTGGCCGCGCCCACGCTCTCGGATGGCCCACTCGAGGTCGCGGTGGCTCGGGTCGGTCGCCCGGCGTCTTTTTCGGCCGCAGCGCCGATGCTCCCCCGCTGGTCGCACCCCACTGCCGCCTGCTGCTCGGCGCCCAAGTGCGAGCATGTCGGCGTCAGCACCCGCTGCCGCTTCGACGGCATCTCGGCCGCCGGCTGCGCCACCGGCCCGCTCGCGGCCGGCGCCGGCACTCGCGCCCGCCCCGGCTGCCCAGTCATTGGAGGGGCGGCAGGCGCCGCAACGCGTCGGCGACCCGCCGAGGCGCAGGGCGGCGCCCCAGCCATCAAGACTCTCGCGAATGGCCGAGGTCTGAAACAAAATGTTTGCGAAGCGGCGAAATGGGCCCAGATGTACCTGTTTGCTCCCGGGTCGCGAGTGGTCAGGGCTGCTACTCAACCCACCTAGAAATACCCCCCCTTGCCAGGATCAGCTGCGAGCCCCCCCCCCCCCAAGGCCCACAAAAGGAAGTCGGCCCTCCTGCAGATGGCGGGTGCGCAAATTAGAGGCACTCGGAAAAAATGCGTCGCGGACTCGACTGGGCTCATCCGAATTGCTGAGCTCACGGGGAGCCCAACGCACAGTGGCATTTAATGTTATGGGCGAAGCAGTACGCGGCAAAAACACGGATCTGGCTCAGCAACCGACAGTCTCTGCTCCTGTATCGGTCGAAACTCAAACACACGCCCACGTCGTCAACAAAAAGAAGCTGGCGCACATCTTGTCCAAACGAACTCAGCGCAACCCTCCGCAGCGACATTGCCAACGCTCGGGCCTCAAGGATCGCCCCAGTAGCTTGTGGAAATACCAAATCCCCACTCCGAGGCGCTGCTAGCGCTGACGACCCGGTTCCATTTTGGCCACCAATCGGAGCACAAGAAGGGCATCAAACCCAGGAATGCCCACAACTCCTGCACCACGGAGTCCCAAGGCGGCCGCTGCACCGCGCGGTTAATCCAGATGAATTCGCACATCGAGCGAAAGCACGACGGCGTCGCCCGACGCACCAGGCCACAGAAGATGCAGTGGCCCAAGATAGTCTCCGACATGGCCCCATTGGCTCGGCCACGGCACAGGGGGTGTCGAAGCGCAGAGCGCACCCGCCAATAGCGACGCCTCGTCAGCGCTATCCGCCGGCTCTCTCCGTACAAGGTCACTCCAAGCGCTTCGACGCAGTCGCCGCGGACCTCTTCGCCGCGCACTAGCAGGCCGAACCTCCTGTCGACGGTCGCCAATCACCCCGAGGTTGTCGACGCACGCGCAGTGCCGAAGCTGGTGCACGCAAGTGCTGAAAGTAAGCACCGCAGCCCTCAGCGGCTGGGAGCCGCGCAGCGCAGGCACCTGGCGACACAGCCCCTCGCCGATGCGCCGGCAGAAAGACAGGCCCCAAGTGGGCCACATGGGCAGCGCACGCGCCACAGGCACGATAACGTCGCCCTTCTGGGCGGGCCCCCCATCGATCGCCCCCCCCCGCCACACCGACGCCCCCGGCCCTTGCGGCCGGTTGCCGAAATTACCGCGATAACAATTCTAGCGTGATCAGCCAGTGGAGCGCGTCCTTCGCGTCCGCCACGCCTACGTAAACTGGCACCGCGCCGCCCTCGAAGTCCTCGGCCTCGATCCCTGACAGCCCCTCAGCTGTCAGCAGCTCGACGTGCGGCGCCGTGCAAACCACTGATTGCTCTTCCTGCAGTCAAGCATCATTCGCATCGTCACCCGACCATTCTTCCAAACGAGGAACAGCCCTGTCTCCTCGAGGCAGGCGCGGCCGAGGCACAGCAGCCCTCGAGCCCGGAGGCGCGCGATGAAGTCTGCGCGGCGCCGTCGGCTGCGGCCCAGCCCAGGGTCCACCTAAGGCCTGATAGGACTGTCATGCATTGACAGAACTCTACGTTCCGTCCGTCGGAGCATTCGTCGGCCCGCGCCCTCCGTCAATCGCCGGCACGTGTCGCTGAGCTCCGAGAAGAGACGACAACCCGCCACACTCTCAGGTAGCGACACCGCATCACGTCGGTATGGGGCAAGCGTTCTGCTGGCGGACTCGAACTCGCAGACGGCCCGACCTTCGCGGAAACACCCTGCGGCGACGGGATGGGTTCGTCACCCGGCGCCGGCCGCGTCCCGTGCAGGAGCCCCTCGGCGCGGGCGGCCACGGCCCAGCGCGCTGGCATGCCACTCGCGATGGCCTCGCCCGCGTGGAAGTCGCATCCAGCGAGCCAGTTCAGAACCGCGGGGGCCTCGCCTCGAGGCCCCTGCGGCCCTCGGCCCACGGCGCCGCCAGCGCGGCGTCCGAGCGGCCGACGCGGCAAAGGGAAGATGCCCCGCGAACCGCTGGACGGCCGGGAGGCCCCCGCGCCCGGCGCGCCGCGGGCGAGGGGCCGGGCTGCCCCCCCGCCCGGGTCGCTGCTCATTGGGCCTCCGCCGGGGCGTCAGCCCTCCGGCGACGGCCTCCTCGGCCGCGCCCGCGGCCGCGCCCCTCGGGGCGCCCCCCCCCCCCCCAGTCTGCTCCTCTTCGCGGCTGCCCGTGGCGAAGCCGGTCGTCGGCGCCAGAACGCGGGCGGAGCTCGCCTCGCTCTCCTCCTTCGCCCGGCGCACCCCGTAGAGGCGCGGCGCTGGGCTCGCCGCGTCGGCTAACGCGGCCACCCCGTCGAAGTAGCGGGCCATCCGCCAGGAGGGAACCGCACCCGGCTCGGCGCGCGCGTCGATGATGAGCCGCACCTGCCGACTGATCTTCTCGAAGCTGACCAGGGAAGGCGAGCTGATCAAAAGTTTCCGCCGATCATCGGCGCCTCCACGAGCGTCTCCAGTTCGCGAAAGGCGCGGTCCGACTTCCCGACGCGGTGCTCCGAGCACCATGTGTCAAGCCAGTTCCTCGGGTTACCCCCGAACCGCCCCGTGTGCTTCAGCAGGCGCAACACCGCGCACGGACCCTCGAGCGGCGCGTCGTCGCACACCTCGGTCGACGACTCGCGGACGACATCCCTCCGCGTCCTGAAGCGCTCCCCCGCGCGCGCCCACGTCGGCCCAGAGTCCGCGCATCCTCTGGGGCCGCAGCCGCCTCGGCACCGCGACCGCCCGGCAAGCCTCTGCCTCTACCAGTCGAGCCCCCCACGTCGCTGCCTCCGGCCTTGGGGGGCGACGCGCGCGACGGAGCCGGCAGCGCCAACGCCCGATCGCTGCGCCAGGGCGCGGCCTCGCCGGCCCCGGCGGCCGCGATCGCTGGTAGCTCCAGCGCGTCTCGCAGCAGCTGGCGTCGCCCCTCCGCAAGCGCCTCCACGTCGCTCGGGCCACGAGCCTCGCGCGGCCGTGCCCATCCGAGCCCTTGATCAGCGCCTGATCGCCCCAGACGTAATCCAATTCTGTCAGCTCGATCACCTCGCCGATCTTCACCCGGCCCAGCGGTTCGCACAGCATCCATACCCCGCGAACCCGAGGCGCGAGCGTCCCCATGACGCTAACCCCACCGGCCCCGCAGTCCAGCACGTGGAGGGCCCCGCCGAACTCGGCCACGGTCGGAAGCGGTCTCTCCACGAAGCCCAATTCCAGCGACGCGGCGCGACGGCACTCGGTCATCCGCGTGCCCAGCTCATGGGCGTCGGGCAGCTCCTTGAAGCCGCACAGCCGCTGCGGCGCCGTGCGGTGGACACCACCCGCGAGCGGCCAACAGCGGCAGGGCCCTGTGGCGTGGTCCGCCGTTGTCAGGCCCTCGACCCAGACATCCCGATCTGGCGACATCACGTACCACAACGCCTTCGACACCGTCCATACGAGCACGCGCTCGTAGTCCACGTCGTCATCCACATAGGCGACGCTGACTCTCTCGCCCGGTCGAGCCTCACGCAACCACCCCGCCACCGCGCCTCGCAGGGGCAGCCGTCGTGACGGACCCGGGCGCGGCGGCATCCCTGCCGCGCGCGCCCAGATGGTCGACGGCGCCAAAACTCAGCCGCGACCGCCTGTGCCGGCTGCGTCGCCCACAGCGCGATCACCAGCCCCCGGGGCCCCGGCCCCTCCGCGGGCTCGGGCCCGTCTCCGGCGGGGCAACTCTCGCAGGCCGCGAGCGCCGCCTCGCAGCGGGCAGGCGCCCACGCTGTCGACCCCTTCGGGCCGCTGTCCGCCGAAGCCGCCGGCGGAGGCGGCGGGGGCGGCGGGGGCGGGGGCGAGGGGTGGCGCAGCCGGCGCCCGCAGGTCCCTCACGACCTGCGCCAACTCCAGCACCAGCACCGCCCAGGCCGCGCCAGCGCCGCCGCGCAGGCCCATCGGGCCGCTCCTGAGCAGTTTGACCCTTAATGGCAATAGGTGAAGGATCGCAAAACGACACAACTGTGCGACAGCTAGATCATTATTGCGCCCGCACTCTCATCATCCCCACTTGCCACCACTGATTAATTGATTGATATGGTATGAAGGAAGGAGGAAGGCAGAATGCCTAGCAAACTGTGGATCTTCAACTCGTCCCCATGGATAAACGACTGCTCTTCGCCATCGCTCACGATTTGCGAATCTCACTCCCTGCGAGCCTCAGCAGACTCTTCGCGGTTTCCATGCACACCATCGTGTCAGAGGAAACCTGGCGCTTGCCCCACAAAGAGAAAGGCCATGTCTTCGCGATCGGCAGAGGGAACGGTAGACGGGCGACGGAAAAAGGAGGAGGAGGAGGAGGAGGCATCTCGGACTCAAAGTTGGTCTCGCGGGCGCCCCCGCGGGGGCACGAGGTCTAGGCGCAACGAGAAGAAAATGAGGACAGCGGCGACGAAGACAAGAAACAACGGAAAAAAGACGACGAACGATGGATGAACGAACGCAGCTGGAACAGAAGGGTTCAACCTTACACGCGCTTGCCCATCGAAGAGGATCCGACCGCACGAGCAAGGTCAGACCCTCGTGCATGCACGAGTGCAGTACGAGCATCTAGTTCCAGTTGGCTCAGAAGGGCAGGAGAGGGAGACCATAGATGTGGGAAGGGGCCGAAGAAACGGGGGGAAAGACAGACGGAGGAAGGGGAAGTGCGACCTTCTCGCTGCTCTTGCAATGGCGAAGGCTCCATAAGGGCGGGAACCACCTCAAGAGCCCTCCCTCCGCATCATGCATCTGTCCTACCCCTCCTCCCATCCTAGAACAGTCGCGCCCTCTCTCCCTCCCACCCGCTCATGTTCCCCCCATCAGACCGCCACTCCCCCGAGAGGCCCTCTGGACACCCCTGCATCCTAGGGAGAGCTTTTTGCCACAGGCCAGCATGAACGCCCACGCCGGCTTCCACCATGTGGGTGAAGGTTGGACGAGCTGATAACATTGCAGGACACCACAGCGCACTGAAACTATCCAAGATCTACAGGTTTCGCAACCGATTTCCACATGTTCATCTCATGAGAATGTCTCTAACGAGGGCTGTATCTTCAGCATACACGATCACCCATTCCCATGAGCATCGGGAGCGCCCCGCATCGGCGGCATTGGCTGGAGGCCACTACAATATTGCAGGACACAGCGCCCTGAAACTATCCACGACCACCGGACACGTCAGGCTTGCACCCCGTGGTGCAGGAAGTGGGCCACCGTGCTGTAGGCTCTGAACGCTGCAGGCGGCACTGAGAAGAGTGTCCGCCACCGTGCTGCTCTGAGTGGAGTGTCCGCGGACCCTGGGGGTTTGGTAGAGGCCCCATGGCCAAGATACCCAAGTGCTCCTGGGCACTCTTGGGCGCTGCTGGGGTTTACCGCGCGACGTTTCTAAAGGCCTCGGGTGTGTGGTTGGGAGTCCGGGGATGGACCCCGGATTTGATCGGGGTTCTCGTGAGGGTCTCGTGAGCCGACTTGAAGCCATCGCCCACGCCAGCCCAAGAGGCCTCCCAAATCGCCCAAAGACAGCTCCGACGCCCCAAGAGGGGCCCAAGAGAGCATCAAGATCGCCCCGAGAGGGCCTAAGAGGACCCCAAGACGACCTCACGAAGCCCCCAAGACGGCCCCGAGATCAACCCAGCAGGGGGAACCCGACCTGACCTTTCGAGCCCTCCACCTCAAGATGGCGCCAAGAACCCACCAGAGGCGCTCGAGGCGCCCACACTAGTCCCCAAGAGGCCTCCAAAAGGCCTCAAAGAGACCCCCCCAAGAGCCCTCCAAGAGGCTCCAAAGAGGCATCCCATGAGACCCTAATATGCATCTAAGAGGCCTCTGACACATAACTCAGACAAGGTGCCCTTGATGCTTGCAAGAGGGGTTGTTGGCGTGCTGGACTTTGGAATGTTTGAACCTTTCCCGAAAGGGTCCCACTTGGGTTCTCGGCCGATCCCACGGGCCACCCGGAAGGGAAGGGATCGTAAAAAGTCCGAATGGTCCCCAAGATGGCCTCCAAGACGGCACAAAACGGTATAAGATGACCCTCAAGACTGCCCATAAAGCCTCCAAGACGGCCAAGACAGCCTTCAAGTCGGCAAAGATGACTCCACGACGGCCCAAGATGCCCTCCACACGGACGAAGAGATCCCCAAAACGCGCCAGGAAGCCAACATCACGGAGTCCCCACGCGGCTCGATGGTGTCGCGTTCTCGCAATGTCGGGCGTCCGACATCCGAAGGTGGCCCCAGAGGCCTCCAAAATAGCCCCAGGGCAGCCCCCAAGTCTGCAGGAGGGCGCCAAGACGGGCCAACCCGCCCTCAGAAGCTCCCAGAGGCCCCCATGAATCCGCAGGAGACCCGAAGAGGTCTCTTGTTCCTCATCCTTGTCCTCCTCCTCCTTCCCCTCCTCCTCCTCCTCCTCCTCCTCCTCCTCCTCCTCCTCCTCCTCCTCCTCCTCCTCCCCCTCCTCCTCCTCCCTCTCCTCCTCACCCCTCTTCCTCCCCACAATGTTCCTCCATGGGTTGCCACAATGGATGGGGAAACACGTAGTTCAATGGCTTGCCCAACGTTGCCCATCGTTGGCCCAACGTAGTCCACGTAGTCCATCGTTGGCCCAACGTCTGGTCCAAAGGCGGGCAGCGTCCTCGATGAGAAAAGATGCGCAAACCTTCTGTAAATACGCGCGCCCGCGAACACGTACATGTATGCCCGCCCTAGGTGCCAACCCGCTTGAATCCTCAGCCGCCACCGCCTCGCGCTTCGCTTCCTTATCTTACGTACCACCATCATCATCATCATCATCATCATCATCACCACCACCACCACCACCACCATCATCATCATCACCACCACCACCACCACCACCACCATCATCATCATCATCATCATCATCATCATCACCATCATCACCATCATCATCAGCATCATCAGCATCAGCATCGTCATCATCAGCATCGTCAGCATCAGCATCAGCATCATCATCATCATCAGCATCATCATCGTTATCAGCATCATCATCATCGTCGTAATCATCATCGTCAGCACCATCATCATCATCATCATCATCATCATCATCATCATCATCTTCATCAAGATCATCACCATCATCAACATCATCAGCAACAGCATCATCGTAACCAGCATCAGCATCACCATCGTGATGATTGTCGTCAGCTGAAGCATCATCGTCAGCATCATCGTCATCCTCGTCATCATCATCATCATCAGCATCATCAGCAGCATCACCATCATCAGCATCAACTTCAGAAGCATCAGCATCCGCGTCGTCATCATCATCAGCATCAGCAGCAGCAGCATCGTCATCATCATCATCATCATCATCATCATCATCATAATCAACAGCTGCATCATCATCAGCAGCAACAGCATCATCAGCATCATCATCAGCACCAGCATCATCATCCTCATCGTCATCATCATCCTCAGCATAATCATAATCAGCATCATAAACAGCACCAGCAGCATCATCATCAGCATCCAAATCATCATCATCATCAACATCATCATCAGCATCATCATCAGCATCATCATCATCCTCATTATCATTATCATTATCAGCATCGTTATCGTCATCGTGGTCAACATCAACAGCATCGTCGTCGGCATCGTCGTCGTCACCATCATCATCCCCTTCCTCGGCATAATCATCATTATCATCATCCTCATAAGCAGCAGCATCATCATCATCGTCATCTTCATCGTCATCATCAGCATCATCATATATATATATAGATATATATATATATATATATAGATCATCATCGACATGATCGGGATCGTGCTTGTCCTCGATATCGTCATCGTCGTCATCATCATCGTCGGCATCGTTATCGTCATCGTCTTCGCCATCGTTACCGTTCTTTTCCACTTCCTCGCCATCCTCATCACCAGCATGGTCATCATCATTATCATCATCATCATCATCATCATCATCATCATCATCATCATCATCATCATCATCATCATCATCATCATCGTCAGCATCACGACCAATGCCATCGAAACCAGCATCAGCACCATTATCGTCGTCGTCGGCAGCATCCCTCGTCCAGTCCCCTCACTGCAGGCGCACAAACAGGGGCTTGGCTGGCCACGTGCCACTTGGGCGGCAGGTCGCCCTGGGCAGCGCTGCGGCAGACCGAGGCACGCCCATCATCAAACACTCCACCACTATTTCACGCATGGGTCCCTTCGAGAGATGTCTTCGAGAATTGTCCCTCCTCGTCCTCCTGCTCCGCAGCTCCTTCCGACAGCCCCCTTGTATTATTAGACCCCCCCATCATCACCATCACCATGACCACCATCATCATCATCAGCATAATGCTCATGCCAGCTATCATCACCATCATCATCACCATCATCATCATCATCATCATCATCATCATCGTCATCATCATCGTCATCGTCATCGTCATCGTCATCGTCACCACCATCATCATCATTATCATCAGCATCGACATCATCATTGTCACCATGATAATCATAATCATCCTCGTCATCATCAGCATCATCAGCATCGGCATCATCATCCTCGCCATCATCAAGATCACCACCATCATCGTCACAATCACCATCTGAGTTCTGGATCGAGCTCACACCCTGGCACTTCGCCCCAAGCACGTACTTGCCAAACCTCGCGGTGAACCACGCAGCTGCCCTCCCTGAAACTGGCTGTACTTGACCAACACTTGCACTTGCCTCGCAGGCCCCTGGAACTCTCAGCCAGCCCCGGTGTCGGCGCGCTCCACAATTCCATGGATGTGGCTGGATGACCTGTGTAATCCGGTGGGTGAATTTAGTGGCTACATTAGGGGGCCACATGCGAACCCTACCCCTGCCCACCACGATTTCTGAGGGGGAGGGTGGGGTTCACAACCCCCTCGGGAGCTCCCGAGCGAAGCAAACCCCGCCATCCCCTCCAGAAATCGTGGTGAGTAGGGGTAGGGTTCGCATGTGGCCCCCTATACATTGCGCGCCCCCTTCTGAACCCCCTCCTCCGCCCCTTCCCCTTTCTCTCACCGACGCCCCCGCTCCAAGGTGCTCGGCCGGCGCCCAAGGCCCGGGCAAATTCTGCGCGGGCGTGAATTTTCCATCTTGGCCCCGAGGCGCCGTGATACTTTCAGGCCTAAGTTAACGCAGGCCAAGCCAATTGCCGTTCTCATGCTCTTCGTACCTGACCTCATTCCTTTCCAGTACTTCGCGCGAGACACTCCAGCTTACTTTCCGGGTCACAGGCTGTGAAGGAACACCCCCATCGGTCCTCAGCAGTCATCTGGCCAGCCAGACCTTCGAGCATAGCTCAACACTCGGCCTGGGTATACCTCTGATATCCTCGCTCGGCGCCCCCCAAACAACTCGCTGTCGGCGCAAATCTTGACGCTTCACGCCGAGGGCCCTTCCGACGCAAAGGACGATAGCCATGAACCGCGTGCCTTTCTTTATGAATGCATCCTCTCCTTTGACAACTTGTTTCAAGCTCTCACAACATAGATCGCAATCATGTCCGCGCACCTCCGTGTTTCAGCACTCTCTGCATTGGCGTCGCGGTCCAGCTCAAGGCTAATGAAAGATGATCAAAGAGGAATATAACCGACAATTATTTTGTATGCCATACTGTTCCAACGAAAACTTGAGGTGCTTCATCCGATACTCTAGCATGTCCCTCATCTTTTCTAGCCGAGACTCTCCGAGTTGAATGCTTTAATCTTGCGATTACGAATAAAGCTGCATTACTCTTGGGAATAATAATGGTTCTTGCACGCATCGTTTCATAATTGAACTCATAGACGGTTTCAAGAGGGCCCCAGGAAGCCAAAGATAACCTCCAAGATGGCTCAAGATAACGAAAAAATGTCCTATCTGACTTGCAAGATACTCCAAGAAGCCCTAAGAACGCTCCAAAACGGCTCTCAGAGGCCTCCGAGACATCCAAGGAGTTCCCCGAGAAGCCAAAGTCCTTCAAAAACCTAAGGCAATGTTGAGTTGTGCTTTCTCGCCTTTTCGCTTCCGATGGCCATCCGAGGCCCCCAGATGGCTCCAAGATGGCCCAGGTGGGCCCCAGGAGAGGCCCAAAAGAGTCCCAAGACGGCCCCAAGAGCGCCCAAGAGCGCTCCAAGAGCGCCACAAGGGCGCGCCAAGAGGCGACTCTTGGGGCTCACAAGGGGAGCCTAATTGAAGCTCCCCCCTTCTTTGATCGATCTCTTCCAAGATGGCCCCAAAAGCGCCCCTGAAGCTCCCAAGAGCGCCCCACGAGGGCCCCAAGCGGCGCCCAGGCAGCCCCAAGAGGCGTCCAGGAAGTCTCCAAGAAGCTCCCAAGAGACCCCCAAGAGGCCTCAAGAGGATGCCCGAAGCACCCAAGACGCTCAAAGACGGCCTTCTTGTCCACTGTCTGTTCCTACTTTCGCCCTCCTCCTCCTTGTCCTCCTCCTTGTCCTCCTCCCCCTCTTTGGCTGTCGGACGGTTTCCCCCACCCACTGCTCTTCTTCATGCTCCCACATTTCCCTGATCACCTCAACTCCCGTGGGCATCGTTCCTAGATGAGCTGGTGGGGATACACGAAGCGTCAACAATTGTCAAAACTGGGACTCTCGCCTGAGCGCCGCGCACATTACACTGATGGAGCACAGGTCGTTTTCAAATTGGAACTCTCGCCATAGCACCGCGCGCATTCGTCTTGGAAGTTCGCTGCAGCTTACAACGACGGAAGAAACGTCAGTTTGAAAATGGTGATATCGCCTTACCGCCGCGCACGTTCGCTCAAAAAGCTCGCAGTATTTACCAGGATGAAAGCGGGGTGTCATTCCAGAATGGACATATCGCTTCAGCACGGCCCACATCCGCTTTAGAAACTTGCAGCAACCATAATCCGGACATACCTTCGAGCACTGTGCACATACAGGTCGGCGACACGGACCCCCGGGTTCGCGTGCCTTCCCCAGGCAACGATTCTCCGCCTGAGGCGGGACCTGGAGCCAGCGTCCCAGCAGCTGTCCCGAATAGAAAATCTGCTGGTGGCCCTATTCGGCGACGGACGAGGTGACTCAAGGGCGTCAAATCCTCTGGAGCTGGAACGTCCGGCTCTTGCAGCCTTTTTTGTTCACGACCCCTGCTGGATGTCGGCGTATGTTGCTCCCTCGTTCTTGACCCCCTGTTCCGAAGAGTGTCGTGTTGTCTCTGCGTTTGTTCATCCCTTTCGTCTTGCATAATGAGCTCGCCAAACACTGGCACGCTGTCATGGCCAACCCTCGGCGGCATGAAATTTTGTCGATAGAGACCCTTCGACAACGGTGGAGGATTAAGCTCATCAGAATCGTTATTGATTTTAGGTTTTCTTTAACTTCGGGCGTGGACTCGCACCGGTCGGTTCTGTCAAATGCCGGGCTGGACGCATGGCGTCGGGCGACTTCTCTATTGGGTGAGCCGAGGAACTCCCCCCCAATGGCCAACTGTCCCGCTTTCGGAGCTTTCTTCTTCCTCAAGATCGTCATCCGAAGCAAAGATAGCCTTCCGACGGCCCTCAGCCGGCGCGTAAAAAAATGTCTCGGTATCCGACAGCTTTACGCCTGAAGCGAGCCCGTCAGACGCGTTTTGGAGGGGATTGAGATGATATGATGGACCAGGCGACGCATGAAATTGGGCATGTTCTTCGCGCTTTTCCATTGAATGCGAGCTCTCCTCCTCTGACTGTCCATCGCTCTCGTCTTCGCCCTGTCCATTCATCACAAACTGTGTTATTTGCCCCTCGTCGCGATGCTCTCCATCCGCTGTGCCAGCAGGAACATGTCCTGGCGAACTCCCCTTTCCATGGGTCGAATTGACTGATATTCTCGGGCTCGAGTGCGCTGATACAACTCCACATGGCCTTCTTGGGCCATGCCCTCCGCCTGACGGTTGAACTCTTTTCTTCATATGGTTAATTATCGGGGAATCTCCATCTGTCAAATCAAACACAGATTCCAACGCTTGCCGTCTGGGAAGATTGAGAGAAAGAGGCCGCCCCCTGGAGGTGCCTTTCTTGATAATATGATCGGGACGATATTGTCGTTCAGTACCCCCGAGCGCTCCTTCCTGCGATCCCATGATCAGCGAAGCCAACGGCTGAGCCGTCGCTTCGGCTGATAACCATCTTTTTGCCTGGACATTGATAGCCCTGCATTATGTTCCAATATTGTGTCAAGATCAGGGGGGCCCGCCGAAGCCATGGCGAGGAAGAAGTGTTCCGTTAAGCCGACTATAGAAATATCCCTGAAGTGACGAGGCCGGCCCGCCGGGCGACGCGCGCGAAAGCAGGCCCGCTCATTTTCCGATACGCTAAGCCAAATGTAGCTGCGGTCGGAAACGTACACTACATGTCAGTGCAAAGGAGCGCCGGCAGCGGCAGCAGGATGGTGGTGCGGAGAAGAATGCAGTGACACCTCGTGAAACTGTACGCTCATCAACTATCATAGTCATGATGACGCGCGGGAATGATGCACGGCAGTTCGTTTTCATAACGGGGCTCTCGCCCCAACGGTAGGCCAATCGGGTCCTGGTATTTCGATGGGGCGCTTCTCGTAGTGAGAAAGCATACAGTAATCGGCCTGACCTAAGGAACGAAAAAAAAGGAACGAAGCCCCTCGTTGTTCCAAGTGAGTCTACGAAGTCCGAAGGAACACCAAGGGGGCTCGCCGCCAAAAGGTAGCAGAACGCATGCAAACCTAAGGAACGACCGAGCCCCTTTTGAGAAGGAAGTGTTCCTTATTCAAGCCGCTCACTGTATAAAAATATATGAGGCAGGGGTTTGGGTGAGAGGGTGTATTGCAGCATCGTCGATGCATCTTGGGATTATTATGGTCGTCCTCCTCTTCCTCCATATCATCCTCCGCCTCTTCCTCTTCCACATCATCATCATTCCGCATCCTCCTCTGCACATGTGCTTGGACAAAGCACGTCCTGGAAATCCACGTCCAGGCCCTCCTCCCGCAACCAGCCACGGCGCATGGCCCGGGCCTGAGGCTACCGAGCGGCGGATCGCGAGCTGCGGTGCGCAAGATTTTGGCTACGCCCATTGCCGTGCCCCGATCCCCGATCTGCGCTCCGATCTCGTAGAACGCGCTACCAACTATGCGCAAATCCCGTA